CGTCTGGCGTGTGACGTCTGCTCTGGGTTCAAAGCAAACAAAACTAATGCATGAATTCCATTACAACATAACATTTTTATTGCAAAAATATGCAGCTGCACCCGCTACTGTATTAGCAGCTGGACCTGCTACTGTATTAGCAGCTGCACCCGCTACTGTATTAGCAGCTGCACCTGCTACTGTATTAGCAGCTGCACCCGCTACTGTATTAGCAGCTGCACCCGCTACTGTATTAGCAGCTGTACCTGCTACTGTATTAGCAGCTGCACCCGCTACTGTATTAGCAGCTGCACCTGCTACTGTATTAGCAGCTGCACCTGCTACTGTATTAGCAGCTGCACCTGCTACTGTATTAGCAGCTGCACCCGCTACTGTATTAGCAGCTGCACCCGCTACTGTATTAGCAGCTGCACCCGCTACTGTATTAGCAGCTGTACCCGCTACTGTATTAGCAGCTGCACCCGCTACTGTATTAGCAGCTGTACCCGCTACTGTATTAGCAGCTGCACCCGCTACTGTATTAGCAGCTGCGCCTGCTACTGTAGTAGCAGCTGCGCCTGCTACTGTATTAGCAGCTGCACCCGCTACTGTATTAGCAGCTGCACCCGCTACTGTATTAGCAGCTGCACCCGCTACTGTATTAGCAGCTGTACCCGCTACTGTATTAGCAGCTGCACCCGCTACTGTATTAGCAGCTGTACCCGCTACTGTATTAGCAGCTGCACCCGCTACTGTATTAGCAGCTGTACCCGCTACTGTATTAGCAGCTGCACCCGCTGCTGTATTAGCAGCTGCACCCGCTACTGTATTAGCAGCTGCACCCGCTACTGTATTAGCAGCTGCACCCGCTACTTTATTAGCAGTTGCATCCGCTACTGTATTAGCAGCTGCACCCGCTACTTTATTAGCAGCTGCACCCGCTACTGTATTAGCAGCTGCACCCGCTACTGTATTAGCAGCTGCACCCGCTACTGTATTAGCAGCTGCACCCGCTACTGTATTAGCAGCTGCACCCGCTACTGTATTAGCAGCTGCACCCGCTACTGTATTAGCAGCTGCACCCGCTACTGTATTAGCAGCTGCACCCGCTACTGTATTAGCAGCTGCACCCGCTACTGTATTAGCAGCTGCACCCGCTACTGTATTAGCAGCTGCACCCGCTACTGTATTAGCAGCTGCACCCGCTACTGTATTAGCAGCTGCACCCGCTACTGTATTAGCAGCTGCACCCGCTACTGTATTAGCAGCTGCACCCGCTACTGTATTAGCAGCTGGACCCGCTACTGTATTAGCAGCTGCACCTGCTACTGTATTAGCAGCAAAACAACAAACTGCATGCATGCAGTTTCTCAGTGACTTTAAAACATCACCTCCACCATAAAACTTTTTCTGAAGCTCCAAATACAGAAAAACATCCCTCACCAGCGTTTTTTTTTAATAAATAAAAAAATCAGAAAATAAGTTTAAATGTTAAATAACAGTTAACATCACTTAAATGCAACAGCAAATTCTCTCATTGCTACTGAACATTTTCTCCACTTATGTGGTTATGATATAAGGCTGTTGCTGTAACTGGGAAGTGAACTGTGCTGGGCCAAACTAGGAGAATATTAAGATTTTCTGAGGGAAAGAGAAAAACTATTGTCTACCTTTCAGAAGAGGAACTGGCAAAAAACTACATGGAAAACATGTGAAAATGTTTGTTTTTAACCCCAAATTGAACAAGTTTACCTAGATCTTAAAAAGCAGCTCAGATGATGAAACTGCAACTATGATTCTGATAACAAGCTAACAAATTGAACTAGCTCCTCTAAGATAAGCGGCTAGCAGAGCTTCTGACTGACAGTTTATGTGCAGCAGCAAATCAACTATCCTGATTAACAAGGTTATAAAAGCTCATAAATGAAAAATCACTTTGATCTGTGGGGGAACTTTTCCAGGCCCTCTTTAGCAGGGTGGGACTGGGAGGAGAGTGCTGTAGCCTTTTAGCTGGAAGCTAACCGGAGCCTGGGGCTAACACTAGCGACATGAAGGTGGGTTGGTTCACCGGCACGTGTCGGAGTCAGCCCGGTAAAAATGATTAACGACACCGAGCGGACTCACGTCCACGTTTGAAAGCAGCGCTGATTCCAGAAACATCAGCACAAAGTGCGTTCCTTGCTCTGAGCCAGCATGACGAACAAGGGAACGGCGCCGCTAATGTTCGGGTGTTGCTTTCCATCCTAAGGGTCTACGTAGGGGGCGGGCGTATTACGTGAACGGAACCATCTGATTGGCCGCATATCAGAAGGGCTACATTTGATTGGTCAAATAATACTTCCGCGTAAAAAACAGCTGGTTTACAAAAAGTTGATGTATGACACGGATGGAAATGTTTGAACCAAACATTTATCGCCGTTTTTGACGTGCTTTGCGATGGGCCTATCGCACGTCCTGTTATCGCGATGACGATAATTTTTCGATATATTGTGCAGCCCTATAATGGTGTTGATGATGATGATGATGATGATGGTGCTGATGGTGATGGAGATCTGGACACCAACAAACTAAACCATTCATAAATTATCACACAGGTAGATGGTTTTATATCGTGTTAGCGAAACCCCCCCCCCCCCCCCCCTCCTATTGAATCACCTGAAGCTGGAATCATTCTGGTCTCTGGAGGATGACATCACCATCAGGATCAGGTGGTGTTTACTGGAACGGTCGATGGTTTCACTGACGTGACAAGCCCACTGTTTACTTCCTGAGCTGCATGAATTAGAACATGCACAAGCTTACAAGCGTTGTCATGGTAACTGAGCTGTCTCTGATGGTAAATAATAACATTTCTGTTTAGAAACATTTTTGTCCAGTTTTACAACCCAAACCCTAAAAAAAAGGTTAAATAATCCATTTCTCATCAGAGCGGCGGTGGGTCACCTGTAGTCTGCGGGTTTCACACGTTATGATGCGTCATCTACAAACCCTAAAGCAGCAGAACCAGAGTCGGAGTAGCTTTGTTTTCAGGATTTCTCTAAACCTCCGTCATTTCTCTACCTGAGACGATCTCAGTTTACAATCCTGGTGTTATTTATTCATTTGTTTTTGCTTGTTTATTTATTCATTTAATACAGAGTCATGGATGTTTTTATAATTATTCTGGTCATGAATTGGGCCTTTTTTCTCTTGAGTTATTAAGCATGAAGTTCAGTAACTCAGCGGTAAACGATTCATCAGGTCTGACTCATGCTGGTTTCAATGATTATTACGTTTTTAACAAATTTGATGAACAGAAAAACGAAGAATCTGAATCTTTTTCTCAGCAGCAGGAAAATAAAAACTTTATCAGATTTTCTCTCATTTCTGAATCAGGATGCAGCAAAAAGCTTCTGCTGCAGTCAGCTGATCAATCGCTGCTTCTGCCTCCGTCTTCCATCCGTTTCTGCCTCAGTATCAGTTTCAACTCCCCCCCCCCCCCCCCCACACACACATTACATTTCCTGTTCCTCTCTCTCTTTAAGTCACCCCTCCCTAGACTGCATCCCCTCTTCCCCGTCTCTCTCTCCTCCTGCAGTTTCTGCGTGACTCTGCATGCCCCCCCCCCCCCCCCCCCCAGCTGAGGTGGGGCGTTGTCATGGTAAACAGCCGCTGAGCTGAAGCAGGACCTGAGCTTTATGTGGGTCTAGAACTGCTGCTGCTGCTGGAAACGCCTGAATAAAAACACCAAGTTGGGATTTTTCTAAACCTTAAATAACATTTTTATTATTTCTCGTCTCATAACTTAACAGAAGTGAAACAGGTAGGAAACATCGTTATTTATGTCATCAAAAAGCATAAAAACTAAAATTATTGATGAGATCTTGTCATAATTATTCATTTATTGTCTCAAAAATATCAAATATTATTTGTAGTTGATTTAAATAACTGACAGATCTGAAAGCTTAAAGAAATGTTTATTAAAAACACAAAAATAGAGGAAATGATATAAAAGCTTCTTAGAACTACTTCATTATAAAACCACACAGAAATTATTAGTTAATATTATTGTTAAAACTTTTAAAACGTCTAATAAAGTTTACAGTCAATAAATAAACATAAATGATCAACCAGCTGATCAGTGACTTCCCTATTTATTAAAACATATTTAATTAGTTAATAATTAGTGGATCAATGCTGTCTTGTTATTTATAGATTATTGATGAGATGTTAATAAATCCTATATGAAGGTCTTATGGTGTTAAACAGGATGCCTAAAGCAGTTTTCTCATTTAAATAATCAATCACAAATTTATTTATAAAAGCTTTTCTAAAACCGGAGATCGCACACGGCGCTGAACAACCATGAAGCCAGTTTGGTGTAAAAATAAAAGTTCTCATTTCTCCATCTGAACAGGTGATGTCTCAGTTCAGCCGTGAACGAAGAGAGATGCCCGATGGAGAAAATAAATCAGTTTTAATGTTTAGAAATGATGGAAAATATGTATAAAAATGTGCAAAACTTCTGTTCACAGGTTTAATGTAAATAATGTTTATTATTATTATTATTTTATATTATTATTATTATTAAATATGTAAAATATTATTATTGTTATATTATTACTTTTATTGATAATATTATTATTAATATTATTTATAATAATAATATTAGTAGTAATAGTAGTAGTAATATTATTATTATCAATATTGTATAATAATTATTATTATTATTAATATTGTTTAATAATAACAATAATAATAATAATTAATGTATTAATTTTTATTATTATCATAATTATTTTTATTATTACTATTTTTTTATTTTAATTTATTAATTACTCTGAATTTAGTCCTTTTAGTCATACATTAATTCATCATAATTGGGTTGTGTGTGTGTGTGTGTGTGTGTGTGTGTGTGTGTGTGTGTGTGTGTGTGTGTGTGTGTGTGTGTGTGCGTGCGTGCGTGCGTGCGTGTGTCGGGGGAGGTGACGAGCTGCATTCGGCCCCTCCTGTCGGGTGAGCTGCTCTGTGGAACAGTCATT